GGCGCCGGGAGGCCGGGCGCGCCGCCGCTATGAATTCCGCCGAGCAGACCGTTACGTGGCTCATTACCTTGGGGGTGCTGGAGTCGCCCAAGAAAACCATCTCGGACCCGGAGGGCTTCCTGCAGGCGTCTCTGAAGGATGGGGTGGTCCTCTGCAGGCTGTTGGAGCGCCTGCTACCCGGGACCATCGAGAAAGTGAGTGCCCCCCGGCCCGCGCCCCCACGGCGCACAGGTCCCGGCGGTGGGAGCCCTAGGCAATGGGAGGCCTCGCGCCTCGCCTTGCTTGCGCCGCAGCTGGGGATGCGCGGCGACGCGCGGGCGCGGGGTCGCTCGCGTCCGCACCTGGTGGCCGCGCGGGGATGGGAGAGCGCGGGGCGCAGAGTAGCCCACGCGCCTCCTTTGTGCGCGGACCCGGGAACGCGGTTCGCGCGGGGGGCGCGCTGGCGGCGCGAGGACCCAGTGGCGGGAGCTCGGGGCGCCATTGTGTGCGGTGCGGGCTGGGGAGGGGGCCAGGGCTGCGTTCTAGGGGAACGACCCGGGGAAGGCCCGGGGGGAAGGGGAGCGCTCTGCTCCGCCCTAAGGTGGAGTTGCTCTTCTCCATGACCCGATAAGAAAACCGTCCTCCAACACTGCGTACAGCTTCCTCTGAGGCTTTGTTTGAACTCCTTTTGTTGGTGATATAGTATGAGAGTTTCGCCCTCCGTTTAATTGACCAATTGCTAGGCATCTTTTAAAGATGCATTCATAAATACGTGAGGGCTGGGTTATGAAATAATTTATTGCCCTCCCCACGAAAGAATTCCTCGTGTCTCCAAGCCCAGAGGATGGCAAATGCAGGGTTGGAAAGCCCTGGCATTCTTCAAGCTGGCTTAAAATGCTAGATTGCATTTTAGGTTCCTACCTGATTTTGAACAGAATCTCTAGCCCTACAGACCCAGCTTCTCTTCTTCGTGACTGGTGGTTTCCCTGGGGCTGGAGTGTGAACCTTGACCCGCATCTCTGTGAGTGATTAAAGTTTGCTTTCCTCTCCTACAGCTGACAAAGCAGGGCCAGAGGAGAGAGCGCTTTTAAAAAGGATGAATTCTCTGAATTTCAAAAACACTATAGTCTTATTCCATTTTTTTCTGCCAATACGTAATCTTAAGATCAATAATTAGTTAAAAGGTCTTAAATATAGAAATTGAAGTACACCGTGGTTAGGAAAAACCATTTAATTTTTTAAATGGGCACGTTAGTCCCAATGCACAATAACAATTAGCTAATAAATATATTAGGTGACTTTAAAAAGTAAAATGTTTAATCTTATAAGTTTGCACATGTCTTGGCACTACATTTTTGAAGGTCGGAAAAGATTTTAATATGAATTTTGCATGCATACTGTTTTAGTTATTTTTCTTAGTTGGAACATATTTATGAAAACAGTTCATTTTAGAGTGAATAGCTGTCTGCCTGTCCAAGAAATAAGAATATTGCTTGTAAATGAACCTGATGTTACAATAAAACTATGATTTAAGACAGGAATAAGGAACAGGATCTAACTTTCAGGGTACTCAAAATACTTTGTTGTCATCTGGACATCAGATCCTTCGGTAATAAAAGACAGATGTTGAAAAGCATTGAAAACGCATGCTAAGTTTACCAAAACAGGCTTACATAAAATACTGTTCCATTTCTAAGAGTGAAGCTTTAAGAAACTTCATATGTTATTTAGATAAAAACATGTCACTATCAATGCATGTTATTTGGCATTTTAACTACATTAATATTGATTGGCAGACTTCAATAATCATTTTCTTTTAAATTCTAGAAAGACTTTTTTAGAACACTGTGGCATGCCTTTCATCTCTAAAACAAAAAAGAGAGGAATGAATAAAATGTTTAGCTTGCAGAAGCCAAATTGAAACAACCCAACATAGTCTAAAACTATGGTCATTTGGAAATTTTTTATATTGAAACTATCCTTTTATTTCCCTTAGGCCCCGTTGGGTTTTAGACTGATACTATCACAATGAAAGTTTAACATCAAAATAGCAAATTATAGACAGAACTACTGATTCTCTGTGGTTCAAAGGTAGGTTTTTGGGGTAAAACATTAGCCATTCTCTGCCTCTGAAAATCTTAGATTTTAGAAGTTTCATGAGCTTTTTCCATTTCCTAAGAGTTATTTATTTGAACTTTTCGATATTTGCATGCACACCAAATAATGTATGCCACAAAGCTCACACGCTGAATAGCTTTCATTGGAATGTGGGAATGTTAGTCTGAGGATGTTTTTCCTTAAAAAGGAACATTTAGAAACAACTGAATATTCATATGGAATTGAAGGATCTTTATTGCTGTTTGCCATATGAACACACTGACAACTGGTTAATGGAGTGTAAGCAGCCAGCAACTTAACATTTGCAAATTCATAATTTAAAATTTTGAACCATTAGGCTGGGAATAGTGCATAATTAAGAAAAGTTTTGAGGTGGGTCAGATTTTTCATATGCCTTTTCTTAAGAAAACATTCCCTAATATGTTTCTTGCATTATGCTCATTTGTTCTATTTTAGACCCAGTAAAGAGTGGAGAACTGGGAGGATATTCATTCTGATTCAGATTGTTCTGCTCATTTTAAGAAAGTTTTCTGTCAGCTTCTCCTTTATGTAGTTCTGCTTTTCTTTAAGGTGAAAGGTTAGACAGAGAAAAGAGGGGATTATAAACTTTACATGAGCAGTTCGGAAAAGAAACACGTGTCATTATTGCCAATGATATGTTCTCTGCTGTAGGGGAGAGAAAAGTGGGGATTACAAGGTTTCCCAAATCTTCGTGTATGCCCTTACGCTTTGATTTTCTCTGGTAATGGCCAGGATGTTTTGCTGACCTACCTGCACTATTTGCTTCCCTTATTTCTCTTGGGATGGGAAGCACACAAAAGCCACAGGATCTAATGAACCTTGTTAGTACTGAGCTCATGAATTAACACTTTAAACATTCCTAGACGAGTCACAGGGAGTGAAATAAAGATCCAGAAGTTTTAGAGGATTAAACATTACTATAAGGTTAATAAAACACATGAAAATAACAGAAGTCATGAAACACTGCTTTAATTTTACTTGTAAATGCAGCAGATGAAGTTGCTTGATTCACCATGAAATCACAAAGAACTTGGTTCTTTTAGGATAAGACAACACACAGTAATCCGTGAAGTGCTGCACAGGAGACACTCCATCAATCAATATTTGTGGAATGTAATTGAAAGTCAGATGCTACCTTTCTGGTCTTGCTAGATGTCCTGAGTGTGCAGGTGTGCGTGCGTTTAAACTGGTTTAAGCTGTTGGACTGGGTATTAGTGTCCTGGGGCTGCTGTAACAGAGACCACAGACTGGGTGGTTTAAACAGCAGAACTTCATTCTCTCACAGTCCTGGGGGCAGGTGTCCAAGATTAAGGTGTGGGCAAGGCTGCGTTCCCTCTGCAGGCACTAGGGGAGGATCTGTCCAGGCCTCTCCACGGCCTCTGGTGGTTCCTTGACTTGTGTCAGTCAGCACAGCTCCGGTCTTCCCATGGTGTTCCCCCTGTGGTCTCTTCTGTGTCCAAACCTCCCTCTTTTATAAGACACCAGTCATTGTATAAGACACCCAACCCAAGTATGATCTCATCTTAAATAATTACATCTGCAATGATCTTGTTTCCAAATAAAATCATGTTCTTAAGTATTGGGGGTTAAGACTCCAACATTATCTTTTTGGGGATCCATCCTATAACAGGTTGCATAATTTGAAGCAAGGCAATTTAAGTACTTGTGTACCTGAACAACATGTTCTAAGGGGTTTTATTACAGGAGAAAACAACTGTAAAAACAACCATATGGGGCAGAAAATCAAGTCAAAGTCAAGTGTAGATGAAAAGAACCGAGGAATTAGTAAGTCCAAGGAGACTGCATTTGAGCCATCCAGCCTCTGATGATTTTCTGACACATGGATTAGAATATGGTTTGTATTTCCCCAGACCGATATGGGAGTCCTAGGTGATCTTCCGCAGCGCAGAAAATCTTTGAATTCTAATATAGTACAGGGAAAAGACAAAGCCATTTCCTAATGGATTCGCGACTTGCTTTCCCAGTAGTCCTAGGATTCTGGGGCTGGTTGGGGATGGGGTGGGAAGAGAGAGGAAGTCTAGTAGCTACTGGACAGCAGTTCTAAGTGCCCACTGTGAGAAATTTGCCTTTACTTAGGCCCCTTTGCCCTAAGGATGTGGTCAGTGATGGCAATGTGGTATGGTGGTAAGGGTCTCATGCAGATTTGGAAGGCCCGTAGCTATACATAGATGCTTGTTGATTAGCTGGGAAAGCACTCAGAGAAAGTTCTAGTTATAAAGCATGTTATCCTCACTGTGTTTTTAAGAAGACTTCTTTAAACCTTGCAAAATGAATTACTGGTTATATCAAGTTGTTTCTAATGAAACTACTTAAGATTTCAAAATAATTAATTTTGCAATATAAACATCTGCTTTTGAAGCACGTGACTTTAAAGTACTATCTCAACTCTGCACTGGGGTGATTCTCATTTTGGATTTCAGGCCCAGCAAACTGCATTTGCTGGCTCAGTCAACATAAAGCAAATAAACTTAAATTCAATTTAAATCGGAAACGCCTAAAGTGATTTCCTGAGAGCCACACTAGACATGCTGTAGTGTTTATGCTGACATCACACACATGCACAACCACTCGCACATTTGCACACTCACACCCATCTGCTTGGGTTTGAAGGATGCTGGGGGAGAGGATCACAAAATGGCCTTCATTAGAGGCAGCTGCCTCTGTGAACTCTGGAGGAATCCAGCGTTTGTGCTATCTTAAGACCTCATTCTATTAATAGAAATAACACTCATAAAGGCCTTTTCTCCTCATTTCTTTAAGCACTTCCCACCTTTATATAGATCTCTTTTAAAGAAAAAAATGTGTTCCCTGAGTTGCAGGTACTATGTTAAACTGCTGTCTCCATGTTGTCTCATGTCACACCCGTTTCCCAGATGAAGATGCTGAGGCACAGCAGTCTGCTGTGCCCAGGTCACCCACCTAGCACATGGAAGCAGAAAATTCCAGCCCAGGGCAGCCTACTGCCAGAGCCCGAGACCTTTCAGGTGATGACAAACTGCTGCTAGTTGAGTACCTGCTGGCTGTCTCACCTGCACTAAACTCCATGTTGTCTCAT